TACAAGATATTTATATAAAATACATCAATACGAAATAGATATTTAATATAGTAAAGAAAAATAAGAAATATAATATATATAAGAAATTAAAGATATATAAGATATGTAATATATATAAGAAATTATAGATCGCTAAGATCGTTAAGAAATTAGAAAAATGATAGAAATCATAGAAATTAGAGAAAGTTGAGATCCATGATCAATGGGATCATTATTCACTAATTATAACTGGCGTAATATTAATGCGTCATAACTAGACTATCACTAACATCATCCACCTACATCTTTAACTAAAGTTCCTATCCTCAAGTCAGTTTTGACGATTTTACATACTCAGACAATAAGCTCTTCATATAATGCTATTGTATTATTTCTCGTTTAAAGGAAAAGTGCTTTACATTCTTCTTGTAATTGTAATTTAATATGCTAATTATAAAATAAATATTAGTAAGATTTTTATTATTTTTTTGTTTTTTTTTTGAATGTTTATAAAAAATTAACATTGTTTTTATTATCTGATTAATTCCAGAGATGTTGATACAGATTCATAGGAAAATCATTGTGTTAAAGCATATGTAGATGTCAAAGCTATATCAGATTCTTTATTAATCCCATTTGCCATTCCATTTCTGATATTTATTGCTAAATCTAAAATTCTTTTGTGGTGAGCTAACTAATAAGCAATTTCAAACTCATTAAACATATTGTGAAATTGTGCTGGTTGCTTTGAATGTAAATCAGCTTCGATTGAAATATCCTTAATTTGCTGTTGTGTTTCTTCATAATCTTGTATTGATCATATTTTCCCAGGAGAATGTAAATTATCAATGATTCTGTAGAATAAAGTGCAGTTGATGTATAATTGTTATTGGATAATGATACAACGGAAGAGTTATCCTGTTGATTTTGATTCATAGTTTTATCATCTGATAAAACAAATATAGTTGAACTTGCAGTTTCAATATCACTTAATAGAAAATCTGGTGATGTTTTCTGACCAATTTTTTGTTTTTGATTTTTTTTCATGTTTTAGCAGAATTTGTTTTTTGTGTTACTTTCGTAGGAGTCGTACTTGAATTTGGTGATATCTTCTGACTGTTTTTTTATTTTTGATTTGTTTTTTGTATTGCTTTCATAGAAGTCATACTTAAATTTGCTTTTCGTGTTCGTGTATTTCTCACTAGAGCCTTTTTCACCAGAGTAGTTTTATTGTTTAAAGCTGTAAGCAAGATTATGTGTAGTATTGATTAAAAATATGATGCTATAATAGGAACAAATATTAATGAATTTTTGTAACATATACTCGTTCTAATCAGATGGTTTCAATTCTATATTATAATAATAAAAGTTTTAAATAAATAGATAATATTTATTTAAGAATTTTTTAACTTACCAAATTTTCGTTTAATTATATTAAAGTACAAACGAAAATTAGAAAAAGAAGTTTGTTTAAATTTGAAAATAACAATCAATTGAATAAGAAAAAAAAATCAATTAAAGAATTATCTAGATAATATTTAATCAATTAATCACAAAAGTCTTTAAACATTCTAATTTTAAATTAATCAATCATAAAAGGCTTAAAAGTCTTAAAAAGTATTTATATCATGATTTTACATCAATTAATCGCAGAAGTCTTAAAAAGTCTTTGATTTAATCAATCGCAAAAAGTCTTTTATCCTAAATTAGTTAATATTTCTAATTCAGAAATCAATACCATAAATAAAGAAAATTCCAATAATTATAAATTACATAAGCAAACAATATTTTTTATTTATTTACTGTTTACAGTATACAGTTTATTTAATATCTATGTAGTCAATTTATATTTTATTTTATCAGTTTTAATAAAAAGTTTAATTATTATACTATAAAAGCATACGTATCATATTTTCATTTTAAATCAATTGTTTTATTCAAAAAAAAAATAATGAAATGCCCAAGAAGAATTTTCCATATATATTATGCATCGATTCCGAAGTTACATGTTAGATCATCTAAAAAGATACAAAATGAAGAAGATAATGAATCTTCTATATCTTCTGATAATTCTTCAGAACATATTGATAATGTAAAAAGCATCTCGTATGATAATGTTTCAGAATATATTAATACAAAAAGTGTTGCTTTGACGGAAGATATCTTGTATGATAATGTTTCAGAATATATTAATACAGAAGTATTAATTTGGCTATCGAAGAAGAACTAAAAGTAGAGAGCTCCAACAGTTATATCTCATCAGAAATAATGATAAATTAGGTCAATTAATATGTTTAATCTTATAAATCATAATGGATGTTATAGAAAATTTCAGAAATCCTAATAACATATATTTTATAATTTCAAGGATTTTGATGAGCAAATGCAGGACTACCAACTTCTGTATAAACCATTACTTAATACTGAAGAAGAAGAATTTTTCGAAGATTATGATCTGTTACAAGAAGAGTCTTCTGATTTTAAAGGCTTCGATAGGGAATATAGTCTATATTTTCCTAATTTTACAACAGCAATGTTCTTTATCTAGATTACCAAACATATGATATGTAAGTGTTATTTTGAATAAATGAGTTTAAAATAATTAACATACTAACATAACGATTTATTCACATAGCAACCTCTGCATATGAAGATCTCTTTAAGATTCTCACTCATCCTGAATATCGAAAAGAGGATCTTATTGCAAATATTCGCCGGATTCATAAATGGTGAGTTAGACTACTATTAGTTAAAGTACACAAATACGAAGTATCCCTTTGTATGTAACGAACACCATCCACATATAAATCTACTAAAACAGCATTTACCATTTCTTCGATAATGTATTTGGAATGTATTTTAAATAATCTGGTACTCATGCAAAAGATGTACTTTAGACCTAGAGTGGTTACAGATGAACGATGAGAATTTTGGCATGGTGAACTCTGGCAAGATTCACCAATGTTTGGAGAACATGAAATAGAAATCAATAACGAAGATTAGTAATAATTTTTTTATAAAATTTATGTTTTAAAAAATAATAACTATTTTTTTACTAGTATATAAAGCAGGCGAATTTTTAGAATACTGTAAACAATCTTCAATATTCATATGCAATATACGAAGTGTAGTAGTTGATAAAACTAACAATAATTCATTTAAATTAAAAATTGATTGAATCCTTTCACATGAGAATCTTCCTAATTACCGTTCAACAAATAACTGACATACTCGTGAAAATGATAATGAGTTATGGTTAGTTGAAGGTGAAGAAAATTTGGTGTATCTGGCGAATATAGAACGACATATTATTGTTTGGTTATATGATATACCAGAATATGAAGAATATGAATATTATATCAAAGAAATTGTATATCAATTCGATGGTAGATGGAAATTCCGTGATATAAAAATGTGACATCAATTACCTTGTGAATATATTATATTTACACGATTACCATAAGACCTTTCAATTTTAAAGATTTTTATAGACATTTATTTTGATGATTTTGGTATTTATAGAAATGTGTATCATTCCTTAGGTGGGATATATTTACAGATCGAAAATATGCTACTAACATTTCAAAAATAGTTAAAACCATTTTTTAATAGGATTTGTTCCATTTGGAGCAAATTTTGATGATTTTATTGAACCGGTTTTTCAGGATATAAAGAGTTTGGAAAAAGGTCTTATTATGAGAACTTTGAATGGTAATGCATTTATTATATGTGGTATTGGTTGCATTACTGCTGACTTGCCATTAGGCAATGACTTAGCAGATGTGAAAAGACATAATGCTAAATACGGATGCCAAACATGTAATATTCCAAATGATCAATATACTAGTATTGATTATAACTATATAAAAAATGCTTGCTTTCACCAGCTAACTGATGAATGGTTTTTAGAAATCACTAGACAAAATTCAAGGACAAGAAAAGAACGATTGGCAGCTGAATATAGTTTAGTAAAATTAGGATCGTTTAAAATACTTAAATGGGACTGACACCTTCAAATACCACATGACACATATCACTCTATGTCTGGAAAGACACGTACTCTACTGGAAGCGATGTTTAATGTGTTTAATATGAATAGTGAAAATTCTTTTATGGAGTATTGAAAACAGATTGAAAAGCCTACACATTAGTGTTAAATGCCTAATCTATTATGACATCGTCAGAGTTTTATATTCTCTGATGTGTTAAGGCTTGTGATGATAATACCATTTATACTTGAACGCTTTTTAAAACTTTGTCATATAAAGGTGGAGACTTTGAATAATTGGCTTACAACATCTAGGATAAGACAAAATTCGGCAGTATCAAAATTATGTATGTGTTGGATAATTGAAGCTAAGGCACTAAAACTTGTATTCTCAATTACTATAACAGAAAATATTTACCAGAAATTGCAGGAATATCCTAAAAGAGAACATGATATGCTTATACAGGTTAGTGAACGAAACTGAAGATTTCAGCTACATTTATTAATAATTCATTTTAATACTATTTTTTAATTTTTTTTATTTAATAGCTATTGTTACGGTCAGTTCTTTATGTTGCTTAAATGTTAAAAGCGGATGGATAATATATGTGGTAAGCAGAAGGTTTTATTTGTAGTTGAGATTTGGGTAAAGATATAGATATCGATAGTTTATT